ATTTGGTTTAAAAAGTAAACATTTTTCTGCATGCTGTTTAATTTTGTGAATATCTAGTGGAAATTCAGTGAGAAAGGCAGGCTTACAAAATTGCTAGAATAGTTATCAGCTTGCTTTTTTTGTGTGTGTGTGATCTTTTTCTTTTACCTTCTGCATGGCTAACAATTTTTTTTAAATATATATGTTAGAATTGTGACCAGAATGAAACATGTATCAGATGTAAGCAGTTAAAAAGCATTTGAATGAATGAATACAAATATAGATGAGGATAGGATTATTGAGTGGGACACCATTAAACTGACCTCTATTTTTTGTGTAATAAACAGCTGGCCAAAAATACGAAACCTGAAAAACAGTTACAGCTACTGACTTCTTAAACATAAGACTGTCAATATCAGTTCAAGTTCTGTCATAACACACTGTTGTTAATCATAAGTAATTTAGACTATTTCACTAAAAATCTTTAATGTATTAATTAACTCTTCAACTCCCCAAGCCTATAATTTCATTTCTTTACTGCTGAAGTGTCAGAACATTCTATCTCAAAGGGATTATTTGGGTTTTCTTTAATCCCATTTCAGAAAACCTTGCCTAGCACTGTAATTTCCATTGACTCTAACATGTATAGAATAGATGCAACTTTGATTTTCACCATTACCCATATCAAAGTATTTTATTACACTGTCACTGCAATAGATTACACAGCATTAAACTTTGCCATTGCAGGGATGAGGGGTGGTGATGTCTTTTTTCTTGTCTTGTTTATGGTTTGCTTTACCTACAAAATATTTTGTTATGGTTTGAAGTATGACATGCCTTGTTAAATATTCAGGGGTTTTAATCTTTTGCTTATGGGACAGAAGAGCTGGACTTCAAGATACAGAGGATTCCTCTGCACATTTTTGGGAGGTGGGGAGCTGGATAGCTAGAGGGAGAAATGCATCTTTCCTGTGAGTTGGCACATTATTTGAAATCATGTTTAATTATAAAGTTTCATTAAAAATCTTTTGCTTAAAATTTTAGAAGTCTAATAAGATTTCCATTAATTTAAACATATCACTATTCCCACAACGGCCCAAATGCTTTCTTTTTCCTCTTTCATCCATGGTTAAATATGTAAATAAAATGTCTAAAGTCATTCTTCAAAGAAGACAAAAGAAAAAAGAGCTGAGGGAAAAGACAGCCATAAAATTCCTCCCAATTCTCCATAACATTTGCCAGAGGGGGGCCAACTCCTAGCCAGGGCCTAGCAGCAGGGGTGCCTGGCTGCTCCATAGAATCACACATCTCAAATCCCACACACAGGAGAAAAAAATAAAATAAAATATCTTTTCAGCTGGAGCCATCAAAAGGCTCTTTTCATTTATTAGTTACAGAGGTATCTTCCAGTTGCTGATTTCTCAGCGCTCTCATTTTTCTATAATAATGTTCTATTTGTTAGTTTCACTGACTCAAGCCCGTTGAATGGGAGATACCCCTAGATAGCTCTTTAAAAATACAGAAAGCAAAATAAATGATCTGAAGTGGGATGCATTGGCTAAAATAATGGCTAGAAAAACAAGACTGATTTAAATTGGCACATAAAAGATCAATTAAGAGAGACACAACTGCAAAAGTTGGGGGTTCCCCCCCCCTTTTTTTCTCATTTTCATTTGTATTTCTTTTTGCCTCTTAGGAGAAAAAGGTTGCTATCAGTGCTATAGAAGAAAACAGGCCATGTTTTATTTTGTATATTTTTTTTCTAGATTCATGTGAATGGTGATATAATACACTTTTCAAAAATACTTGTGAGAAAAAAAAAACACAAGCTCCCAAACAATCACGTTGAACAAAACAAATACTGAATATGTTCATCTTGTACATTATTTAAATGCTACTTTTTATTATTATTTAAATGCTACTTTTTAAAGTAGAACTTACTTGTCCCTTGTAAAAGCTTTCCCCACACTTCCCTACTACCCCCAGCTGAGCGCTCTAGAAGAGGAATCAGGATGCATACAAATGCTAAGAAAACAGGCTTAGATTAATGAAGAATGGAAATGCCCCAACACACACTCTCTCTCACACATACATACACACAGACACACTAAAATAAATAAAGCTTTTTTTGCACATAGCACTGCCTGCTTTTGTAACTTTCCCTGAGGAATCTAAAAGTGCCCAAGGAAAGGTCAGCCCCCAAGACCAATACTTTATAAGTATAATCTCCTCAATCCACTGAAAAGCCACAAAAAGGAGGACTACTGTTTTAAAACATTTTTATGATGGCTTTTACTTCTAGGCAAAAACTAGCCACATCTTCAGGGTTTTCAAAGACAAACATTAGCCCTGGTTTGTTGTCCTTGCTTGGATCCATTTCACCCTTATCACAATTGAGGAAGCCAACAGTTTCCTTTCTAGAGCCTGGTGGGGTATTAACTCTGACCCTGCGGGATTTGGGAGTTTCCAGGAGAATCCGTGTTCATTTCGATAAGAGACAGGCACTAATGGAGAGGAGCCCAGTTTGCGTGGGTGAGCGTGAATGAAGAGAAAGAGAGATTTTCCTTCTTCATTAATATGTTTGCTAAAAATAAGCACAAAGGGGGGGGGGGGAAGGAAAAAAAAAAGTACAGCTAATCTTTTGACTTCTGATCAGAGTGCTCCTTTTCAGTCTGTAAAATTGTGAATTATAGTTTGGCTTGGGGTTTAACTTCTTCCTTCTAGCTCTGATAGCCCAATGAGCAAAATAAATCTCAAAGTTTAACTTAAAAAGTAAACACAACTCACTTTAGAATGATCTCCATCTCCAAAATCTGTAAGTATCCTTTCTATAGTGGATGAGGTAACTTTTCCAAGGGTATGTCTCTAGTTCTCTTAGAGTTTCTTATTTAAGGAAAAGAAAAAAATAAAGTCCTGTTCATTTAGGAATTCGAGACAAAGCACGACATTTGAAAACAGCTGAGATTCCAGGCTGAAAGCAACCATATTTTATGAGCCTGGCAGCGAAGAGTTTATAGCACTCGCCATAAAATGCATCCTCCTCCTCCCCACATCCTCCCTGCTAAAGCATTGCCCCCCCTCCAATAAAGGCGGCCGAGGCGGCACCACCTTCAGCCCTCTCGTTAGGAGCCACGGGGGCTGCAGCGCTCGCCCTCCCTGGCTCCCTACCTGCGCGAGGGAGGCTGGGCTGCCGCCTTCCAGGGACAGGAGCTTGTGAAACTTTCACGGGAGGGCAACGGGAGGGAAAGGAGAAAGGAGGGAAAGAAGGAGGGGGAGAGAGAGAGAGAGACAAATGGGGCTTTTTCTAATCTGTGCTGATCAAGGAAAACCTGTAGGGGTCCTTAAGGAGGTTTCAAGGCGTTCCGAGTGATTGGAAAGTAATCACCGTGTCAGCTTCACCTTTCTCATGCAAAGTGGATGTCGTATGCAAGGCGGATCCTGCACAGGTTTTGGTTTTGTTTTTTGGGTTTTTTTTTTTTATTTTATTTTATCCTTGGACTCAACCGCCCCCTAAAAACCCCAGCTGCCCCAGCCCCAGGAGTTCCTGCTAATGCGGGGGGCGCGGAGCAGGCACACAGACAGCACACGCACACCGACCAGCCCCGCTCTGCAAAGCGCAGAAGAGCCGACCTATTGCAAACCCAGACCAGAGGGCGGCGAGGGGGGGGGATTTTCAGGCCCCCCTCTTCAATGGCTTAGATATTTCCTCCTCCTCCTCCTCCTTTATTCTACACTCGGATAAACCAATCCCCACCTCTCGGCAAGAAAGTACGGAGCTGTGACCCGTTCTAGGAAGAGGAAAATCCCTGGAGGATCCCGCTGCACCAAAAAGCCGCCCGGGACATGTGCAAGTTGAAGCAGTGATCGCTCGGATCTGCCCGGACCCAAACTATTCCGGCATCGCTCTGCCCGTGCTTCGAGGAAGCAGCAGCGGGGAGGAAGCAGAGGAGGAGGAAGGGTGCTGGGAAGACGGATCGCAAAAGTGGAAGCCCGGGGACGAGAAAGTTGCCGGGCTCCCCGCAGTAAGTTTTGCGCATCAGTGGA